CCCCGGTCCCAAACAGTTCCTCTAGCCAGTTCCTCCCAGACACCAATGAAACGTGGCCTTGGGCCAGCTGGGCAGGGATGACGTTCTATCAGAACGGCCTCAGGGGAATTCTGGTGGTGAGGTACCATGGAAGCAAAGAAACAGGGAGGAAGACACACTGGGCTTGGAGCCTTGGCTCTGCCAGCTGGGTCCCCGGGGCGCAGAATTTGGATCCAGGCAGACTGGGGTACACTCCTGGCTCCAATCAGCACTAACGGCGTGAGTCTCAGGCAGCGGACCCAACCTCAGTGAGGTGTTGTTTCTGCGTGTGTAAAGAGGGCTTAGTGGTACCTGCCTCGTGACAGATTCAGAGCCCTCGCAAGCAGTTCTGGTACAAGGCAGGCACGTGCCGGTGAGCGGGGGGCAGAGTGAGTGTGGGGCAGGCATTCCGAAAAGGCGGCTTTTATAACAGCTCCCCAGCCACAGCCCTTGACCCTGAAGGAAGAAAAAGCAGCCAGGACCACAACCAAAGGGTAAGTAAAACAGTTCTAAAATTGTTCTAAATGAGCAAATCCACAAAAGAAAAGGCCGAGAAAGGGGAAGGCCCAGAGGAGACCTGGAAAGCCCCGCATGGCATCTGTAACGCTGTGACCAGATTCTTCTTCAGGGCCACAGCGATGCTGACCGGGGTGTTTGCGAGGTCACAGCAAGATGACCTCCACAAAGAGACAACCGTCAGGGAACCAGCTCGCCGCTGGGGAGTGACTGCAGTGGCTTTCAGGCCTGCTGCCACAGCTGACAGAAATAACCAGACAAATGGAAGCGCTTTTGGCCCTCAGAGAGGAGGCAGAGCCGCTTGGCAAAAGAGAGGTTTTACCTCAGGGCTGAACCATCAGAGCCGCCACGGAAGGAGGCCTGTCATCGTTCTGGGCCGCAAACGTAGACAGAAGGAAGCCTGAGTTCCGACCCTGGCCCGCCATTAACCAGCCGAGGGGCAACTGTCTGTGCCTCAGTTTCTTCATCAGTAAAGCGAGGGCTTTAGAGTTTCTTTCTAGTTTTCACAGTCCACGACCTTAGAAATTAGGAACTATAAAGGCAGTAAAGTAGCCAAGAGAACAGCTTCCAGAATCTGACGGCCTTGGATTTAAATTTAAGTCCCAGGTCTGGCACTCTATAAACTTCTGACCAACCCACTAACCCTTTCTAAGCCTCAGATTCCTTATTGAAAAATGCATGTGATGTGCATACTGCTTTTAGTGCTATCTCAGGGTCCAAAGCACAGGAAGTTGGTGCCTGTGGGTGCTCCAGAAGTGCTAGCTGTTATGACAGGTCCTCGTAAGCACGACAGCACCAGCTCTGCAGCCGCGAGGCTGAGTGTAGCGCCAGTGCACACATGACAGCCAGACTCCCCTCACCTAATCCCACCTGGACACCGGCTGGGAGGCTAAGGTTCGACTTTCTTATTTTTTCCTCCCTTGATGATGTTTTTCCAGAAGGGAGGAACCCCTGAAGCATACAGGTGGCTCCCCTGAGAGGGCACGCCCCCATCCCACCTCACCTCTCCGGGAGATGAGGGAACTGTTTATCTTCAAAAGGGCTCCAGACACCTGGGGATCTTGCAGCGGCAGACATTTCATCTCATTTCATTCTTTCAAGAATTCTGTGAGGCAGGTATTGCCACTGCCCCACCTGACAGATGGAAGGGAAATCATGAGCCCAAAGTGGGGGAGGGAGGACTTAAACCCAGGTCTGCCTGACCCCAAGGACCAGCATTTATCAGACTCGCCGACACACGGACATTGGTTTTGGTTCTGTGAGCCGTGGCCATGGGCGATCTGACCCAGCTCTCCTCTCTGCCGGTTATTCCAGAACCGTCCCTACTTGGGGCTGCAGTCGTGGCCAGGCCTCTGCACCTTGTGGGCCCTCCTCTCACCTGCCCCAGATCAAAAGGCCAGCACATTCAGGAGGTAACAGAGATAAGGCCAGGCCCTCGTGGAGATCACAATCTGAGGCCTGCCACCGGAGATAAAAGATTCAAAGCTACAGAGCGCAGCACAGAGCCTTTTAGCAGCGGAACAGGCACCTGACGGTGTTTCTCATTTACTGCCAGGGACCTTAACAGAAAAAGAAATGACAGCAGTAACATAATACACTTCCAAGAACCACTGGGGCTCACCTTTTAAGTGACGCATAACAAATGAGAGAAATTTAATCTGCCGAAGATCCCATGGAGAGATTCAATGCTGAGAAAGCTACTGCTCTTGGGATTGGGGACCTTGCTCCAGTGGGAAGGAGGAGGAGAAGAAAAAAGAGGAAAAAGTGTCTGGGCAAAGTAAACCTAGGAAGCTGCAGGGGAGAGCGAGAACCCAGGCCAGGCGCAAGTCTTACCCACAGCTCCCAGCTCAGTGGGCCAGGCTCCCAGAATGCTCCTGCCATGGGAAAGTTGCTCTCTGGTTCTGTAAAAACTTTCCTCGGGTGACTGCTCTTTTTAGATGAGTTTTCTCTGGAGTCAAAAGCTTGAGTGGGAGGAGCTCTATCACCCTCAGGTGAGGTTTAGTCACATGCTTCCGTAGGGGCTGCCATCACCGTTCAGATGGAAGGAGCTGTGGAGCTAAGTTACAAAAAGTGAGGGGATGGAGGACTTATGGTGGTGAAAATTCAGAATATTTGTTTAGCATAATAATCTTCTGGAGAGGTACAGGCACGAGCTGGTACCACTCTACCAGAGCTGGGCAACTGGAGCCCCTGCCCCTGGCCCAGCTTTAGACAGCCTTGCTCAGGCTGAAAAATCCAGAGAGCCCAGCCAAAGCACAGCCTCTCTCCCCTACACCTGGAGCTCCAGGCCCGGAACCGGCCCCCACAGCTGCATGGGCCTCTTTCCTGGATCCTGACTCTGAGGGGTGAACCCCACTGTTGGTGTGTACACTCCTAAGTCTCGGGAGTGGCCGCGGGGCAGGTGTGTGTGGTTGTAAACAGAGCTGGGATGTCCACACTCGTGTGTGAGACCTGTCGTGGTGAGAGGAGGGGCGGCCCCATTCATACCCCAGCTGCCATAAACGTTAGGAGCAGACCTGGATGGTCTTTCAAAAATTTAAATCACACTTAGGATGTATTCAGAAAAAAAAAAAAAGCGTGTTACTTTATTCTATCAAGGCTTTCGATCTAATTTCTAGTCATAGGAGATAAAGAGGATAGAGGACAACGGAATAAACTAAATGACACCATAAAGAGACAACCAGACAATATGGAAGGCAGAACATTCGGCAGAACTGGTCTGGATCCTTCAACGATTAGAGTTGTGAACAAAAGAGTCTACTGAGAGATACGAGATTGTTTATGTAGCGATTTCCTTCCGAAGAGTACACCATGGGCGGAGGGATGAGAGAGTAACTTTACAGTAGAGAAACCTGACAAACCCTACCTCCACCACGTGACCAAGGTCATAAACAGCGATAAGTCACGTTGGCAGCACGTACCTTTGATATGACGTGATGAGAAGGGCACTTTACGTCTGTGGTTGCCCTGCCCAAAACCTATCACCCAGTCTAATCATGAGAACAACATCAGAGAAATCCCAACTGAGGGATAGTCTACAAAACACCTGACCAGTGCTCCTCAAAACTATCAAAACAAGGAAGAGTCTAAGAAACTGACACAGCCCAGAAAAGCCTAAGGAGACGTGACAACTAAATGTACTATATTATCCTGGATGGGATCCTAGAACAGTAAAAAGACATTAGGGAAAAACTAAGGAAATCTGAATAAAGTATGGACTTTAGTTAATAATAATGCATCAATATTGGTTTATTAATTATAACAAATGTATCATACCAATGTAAGGAAACTGGGCGTGGCACATATAAGAACTCTGAATTATCTTTGCAATTTTTCCAAAACTGTTCTAAAATACAAAATTTATTTAAAAGAGAGAGAGAGATTGAGAGCTAAGAAACATAACCAGATTAAATGCATTAAATTGAGAGCTAAGAAACATAACCAGATTAAATGCATGGATCCTGGATTGGCTCCTGGTTTATATACAAACCAGTAAAAAAATGTTCTTGGAGGACTATTAGAGAAATTTGCATAACTCAGTTATTTGGTGGCAACGGAACTATTATGAAAGCTTTCTTTCTCTACATAGATAAGATTCCTTTCACTATATTGAGAAATGTTATTTTTCAAAGATGCATGCTGAAAAATATTTGTTCGCCCTCAGCACACATTCCAAACTCTTTCTCATGGCCTAGCTCTAAGCCCCTGTAAGTTCTGGTACTGCCACCTCTCTAACCTCATTTTGTACCACTCACTGCTCCACTCACTACAATCCTGCCACATCAGCCTTTCTTTTGGCTCCTCCTGCTTCAGGGTCTTCACACATAATGTGCTTCTGCCTAGAATGCCCTCCCATGATGGCCAAAACGGAAGTAGCCCCTACCTTCTACTGCTGTAGCTCACTGCCCTGTTTATTTCCTTCAGAACCTCGCTTTTGGCTTGTTTGCTCGCCATCTGTCTTCCCCTACTAGGATGTAAGTTTCTTGAGGGTAAAGACCTCCCCCACCCCAACTTGTTTGCCAGCATTTAGAACAGTACTTTACTCACACGGTTCAGGCCCAATAAATATCTGTCTACTGAATAATTCAACACTCAGATCATAACGACTACAGGAACCATAAGCCATTCCAAGTCACCTCTACTTCTCGATATTAAAACAGTAAAGATGTTTAAAAGAACACTCTAAACTTTTTTCCCTCTATGTGGCTTCAATCCATTCATTTATAATTTCATCTCTAAGCAGGAGGGAAGGTAGACACGCAGAAGGAGTCCTGAGCTTGAGTTCCAGACCTGACTCAAGCTAGCTGTGACCTGGACAATGTATGAACCGCGAAGGTGGCACAGACATCCCGAAGATCTGCTACCGCAGCTAGGGGACTGCCTAAGAGATTCCTTTCCCGACGACTCCTAGCTCACTTATCTCACCACAACCCATCAGGCATCTGGGAGACTGGTCCCATCCTTACCGATAGCAAACTCCACCAGGGTCTCATTCTCCTCCGACAGCGAATCGAGGAATAAATCGAGGACCTGCAGCTGTCGCAGATACTGGTAGTTGCTGGGGTCATAGGCGAAGTTGGCGAGGTTGGCCAGGACTTGCTCCTTGGCGTCTGCGGCAGAAAAGCGGCACTGGAGCCAAGTCCAGGGCGCCGGTCACGGCCGGACCCCTGCCCCGTCCCCTGACTCCCACTCTGTCGCTCTCACCTTGGTTCTCCGTCTCCTGGAATTCCGTGACCAGCGCCTGCAGGTATCCCAGCCGTCCGACGTGGGGCTCTACCTTCGGCTTCTGGGCCATGGTTGGGGCAGCGGAGGGGCCACGGGGGACAGGTAGGAGAGTGTGGCAGATGGGGCCAGAAAGCCCGGCGAGAACCTTACTGGGCCTCCACCGGTCTGGGCAAGAGCTGACCGGGGCGGGAAATAGGTTCCTTTTATGGCTTCAGATTTTGCAGTAATTTGCAGCTGGAACGAAGACGTGGGGAATTGGGGTGGGGTATCAGGACCTTGTAAGAGATGGGCGTGAAAATCTAATATGGGGCGCGGGAGACAAGGACGAGAACGTGCGCTGGAATTCGGAGTAGCAGCGGCCGGACCCAGGACGCTGGGCTTGATTTTCGGCTCTACTCCGGACTTCCGGCGGAAGCCGCGCTTAGCTCCGCCCCAGAAGGCGGAAAGGGGTGGGCCGAGGTGGGTGAGGGGCGGGGCCGACGCCGAGCCTCGGCGCGCGTGCGCAGTGCGCTTCGCTCCTTACTGCTCCCGCCCGCGGCAAAAGTTTGCATATGTATAGAGGAACACTTCCAGGGCCTTTAGGAGCTCATTGGCGCAGACGGTGCTCACGTAGGGAGCTTCGAGGCAGAGGCACCTCCAGACACCCTTGCATTTGACAAGGGGGCACAGGCCAGCCTCTCGACCAAGGGACGCCCTTCTGGAGCATGGGCTTCGACTCCCTGTGCCCCGCATACAGGTCCTTTGACACTATCTTCTGGTTGGCTTTTCCAAAAAGCCAGGTGAGCCTGACACCGCCTGCTCCCTAGCCCTGAGCTGAGTTCGCTACCTCTGGCCAAAAGTCTCGAGAGCTTTGTAAGGCTCTCTGTAAACCAGGTGGAGAGGGAGCGCTGAGGCAGCAATGACGGGTAGAGGAGCCTCTGTTCCCTCGAATGTACCGTTTTGGCAGCTTTTTGGGTTGTGGAGCCCTGAATGCTGAAGCCCCTTGATCCAATTCTTTCTTGGGGCGTCTTAGGAAGGTGGGGTGTGATGGATACCTCGTAGGCACAGGGGATAAAACGCCAGGGAGACAGGTGGTCCTGCCATAGTCCCATCGTGCTTGAAAATGTGAGGGTAAAGGGGGCTTGGGCTGTGAGCTTCTTGAGGGCAAGGACCATGTGCCTTTGGTCCTGGGCCTGGTATGAGGGCCGAGTGGCTGCCATACTCCAGCCTGCCATAGCCCCATTGGGAATAGGCCCTACCTACATGGGCTTGGGTCCCTGTGGTCAGCTCCTGCCCTATGCATACCCCGTGGTTATGGTTATGACCACTATCTGGGTGCTTAGGTGCTATGACTGCTCAGTGAGGGCAGTAGCCCCAGGGCCCTCACCAGGCCCTCCAGCTTCTTTGGGGAGCTGATGTGACCTGTAGGAGTACATCTCAGCCCAACGTGGCCAGGGGGCTTTTCCGCCTTTGGCTACACAGAGCAGCAAAGGGGCAAAGGGTTGGGGACAGGATGGAAGTGAGCTCCACCCTGTGCTGCTCAGGATCTGCTCCAGACCCTCTCTAGAGGATTCCCGGAAAATAAGCCAAGTGTGGGTTCTGGAAACAGATGCGCCACCCATCCTTTCTCATGTGTTCCCTCCCAAGGACTCAGGGGCCCTTCTCCTTGGGAAAGAATTCTCAGTCCTTGATTTTGTGCTCAGGACAGCAGCCAATTCTTACTCCTCTCTGCCCAGTCCTTGGCACACAGTAGATGCTCAATAAATATTTCTTGGAGGCAGTTTGCCTAGAGATTATTACTATTGTACAGGGGGCGGTGAGGTCCAAATTCCCTATGCTGAACATTCACTGATATCTTTTTTTCCTTAAAAGAAATCTGTTTCAAGGAAGTGGGCCTATTAGGGGATGCACATTTCCAAGCCCGGTGGCTATTAGCACCAAAATCATTTATCTACCCACCAGCCCCAACTTCCTCCTTCGCCACTCTATTAAGATGAAGGAGACAGGAATTGGTAAGAGGTGTCCAAGCTTTCCCTGTGCAGTGTGGATGGTGGCTAAGCACAGGACTGGGTGGGGAGCAGGAAGGCAGTGGGGAGGGCGGGGAGGGTCTTCAGGATAAGACTCTGTAAACTGGAAGAGACTAGCTCATCCAGATCAACATCCTCCTTTTTCAAAGCCCAGAGATGGTGAACAATTTGCCTAGCGTCACATAGCAAACTGTGGCTGAACTAAACATGAACTCAAGTCTCTATCCCAGCCCAGAGCCCTTTGCTTTGCCTCTGCATTATCCACTGAGGCCATAAGGGGGCACTAATGGCAGGGTCCTGGAGAAGACAGGCTATCCTCCAAGGATGCTTACTCACGCCCGCTGGACATGTGGAGGAGAAAGGCTAGAGTTGGGTCAGGAAAATAAAATCAATCCTCCTGATAAGGTTTTCTTGTTGGAGCCTGGTTGAGCCTGAATCAACAAACAAGGTCCTGGGCGTGAGCAGCCCGCCAAGCTGGACAAACTGAAGTGGGGGAGGAGGACTCACTCCAGGCCTGTTTTCCTGCTTCATTAATTCACAGGGTTTATAACCTGCTGCAGGAAACATTTTTGCGTGTAATTCAAAACTATTTTTCCATTCCCTTGGTTGGTACCCTGCTGAGACAAGCCTGAGCTGATGACAGCCAGCCCCCAGGTGATGACCTCAAGGAAGGGCACCAGCAAAGAGTGTGTATGGGTGGACGGGGGCGGGATTCTGGCCTCCAGGCTACAGGCACAGGAGAATGGGGAGCAGGGTTGGACTGGCAGCTGGCCGAGCCAGCTACTTGCCCCCGGGTTGAGACCTCTGACGGCAGGGAGAAGAGAATGGCAGGAGAAGGGAGTGAAAGGGCTTCTGTTGCAAAAGCAGCTCCGTTTCCACAGAGGTCCTTGGGCCCTGCCCAGCAATCCTTCTCCATTGTCAGATGTCTGGCTTCCCCCAACCCCAGCACTAATCTTCCGGGCCAAGACGCGGGGTGGGGCAGAGGAGGGAAGGAGACCCTGGAGTGGGCTCTGCTGAGTGTGCAGGGGGCCCTCAGACTTTACCGATACTAGGGCCCAAGTCAGGGGCTCCCCTCCAGTTCTCTGCACAGACACCAGGATGGGAACTCTACTCAACATTTAATCTGTCTGAACCCTAAACCCTGCATCCAGGCCAGCTCCTCGGTGTGGCCCTCCACTGCCGCAGGTCATGCTCTCTCAATGCCCTTCTTCCCAAAGTTCCAGTCAGCGTGAGGCCCAGCGATTTATGCTGGAGACGGCCCTAAGGGCAAGGGCTGGGTCACTGGGAAAAAGGAGGACAGGAGGGCCTCAGAATCTGGAACTGTCTGGAGGCTGGAGGACAGAGTCACAACAGAGGTATCCGGGCTGAACTTGAGGGGCCAGGGTGTTGAGTTGTTGCATCAACAGTGGCTGCCAGCTGAACCGAGCCGGCCATGACAGGGCTTGGACTTGCCCTCTTGGGCCCCAAGTACTCTGGTGCCCAAGGAAAAAAGTCGGGAGGACCTGCCCCTGGATTCTGCTCACTGAAAGCAACCCTGAGTCTTCGGAGGCCAGCCTCCAAGGTCCCAGCTCCTGGCTGAGTCCTGATATGCAGAGCCTGGCCGACCTTTGGTTCAAGCTCTCTGGGTAGCACTTCACCAAGCCTCCTGGGGAAGCAGCTAGACATCCCCCATTCCTGGGCCGAGGCAGTGGTTACTCACTACCCTCAGGGCTCAGGTGCCGGTCACACATGTGATCCTGGGGCTCAGACACTGGTCACGTACATGACTTCGGTGCACGGCTGCTTCTCAGATCTGGGGCCCTCCACAGTGAGGGCCCGCTCTAGAGCAGCCTCCGTGGCGGCTGCTTCCGCCTCAGCCTGCCTGCCCTGCTTCTCCTTCTTCTGCAGGGCACAGAAGCTGCCACCCATGAAGAGGCCGCCTGAGATGAGGAAGAAGCTGGACATGCAGAAAACATAGCTGTAGTTGTTGTTGGTGGTGTCCAGGACGAGCCCTGGAGGACAGAGAGCAAATGAGGCCACTGTCTGGAGCCACCAGCACTTCCCCTGCCACCACCCCCGCCACCCTCAGCTAAACTGTGCTCTCTGCGAGAGCCGGGCCTTTATTTCTGTCTCTGCTGTATCTCCAGTAGTAGGAATTGTGGCTGGCACCTAAGGGGTTGTGTACCAGACAGACCCTTAGCAGGCACAGTGTTCAAGAAAAGCAGGCAAGGAAACACTAAACCTGCTCTGGTTCAGCCAGGAAGAGTCTCAGGGCCAAAGAGCACGTAAGGGCATGCCTCTCTTACCCTTGGTGGCAGGGAGCCAAGGAGACAAGGGCCAGTGCAGTCTGGGGTATCTGCTCAGCCATGTCCTGGGCCTTTGGAGTCTGGATCTGTCTGGAGGCCGGAGGACCCATACCTCCTTCTGGAGAGTTCTCTCTCTTTGCTGGCTTGGAGAAGTCCCTTGGGAACTGGGACTGCCAACTCAGCAGCCAGGGGAAGAGTCCCCATGCTCTTGCTGTAATAACTGCCGCTACGTGTTGTCCATGGACTGCCCCCCAAGGGCTTCGCGAACCTTCCCTTTTGCTCTGAATGCCCAGCAAGCCCTCTCCCGTGCAGCTCTGCTTCCCTATCCGTACATTTCCCTCGTGACACAAGTCACCATCGTGACCACAAACCACCAGAAGGGAAGTCTCCGTAACCAGCCACATGTACCCAGTGACTGACACAGGTGAAACAATGGTTATGGCAGGTATTCTTTTCTGCATTTTGCAGATGATATTGCGGCTCAGAGAAGGCAAATGACTTGCCTGAGTCCCACAGGCAGGAAGTCAGACAACCAGGATGTTAATAATAGCAAGCCCGTGCATAGCACCTACTCTCTGCCAGCTTCTCTACTAAGCCCTTTACTGTATAACTTGTGATCCTCACAACAAGCCTACCAGGTAGATCCTATTATCATCCCCACTTTGCCGATAAGAAACAGAAGAATACAGAGAGGAAAAAGACAGACAGTAAGTCTGGTACACAAGCCCGTACTTTGAACTTTCCTATCCTGAGTTGCCAGCCGGGGAACAATCTATAGCCAGTCTCCTGGGGTGCTTGGGATAATCACAGATTCCAAGTTCCTACCCCTAGGACATAGGATGGGGCCCATATCTGTCCAGATTGTTCCCTTTGTCCTACCTCTGTACCCTGCCCGCCCAGCCCACACCCTGGCACACCTGGCCGCCCTCCCTCCCGGGCCTCACCAGCGAGTGGGGGGGAGACGAGGATGGAGATACTCTCCAGGACGGTACAGAGACCCAGGGCCCTGGAGAACTGATCCACGGACACGACGTCCATGAGGACCTGGAAGAGGAGGGCACCAATTCCGCTCATGGACACGCTGTACACCAGGCAGTAGCCCACCAGCACATGGAAGTCGGCCGACGCTGTGCACACCAGGTTGGTGAGCCCATTGAGCAGGATTGCCAGGCTGAACAGGTACTTGCGGTGGCCAGCAAAGTCCTGCCGGCCTGCCAGCAGCCCAGCCATGGGCCGAAGGAAGATGTTGCTAAAGCCGATGATGGAGATGAGCAGGGCCGCCCTGTGCTCGTCCACCCCATGACGCATGGCGTACGGCACCAAGAAGACATGTGGCAGCGGGAAACCCAGGATCATCCACATGACACCCAGCGTGAACACGCGATAGCCTGCATTGTGCCAGAAGATGTCAAAGCCCAGGTGGCGCTGGAGGGCCCAGCCACACGCTGCCAGGCAGCCGCGAGCGGGTGTCTTGGGAGGTGGAGGGGGTCTTTCTCTGGTTTCAGCAGCCGCACTGGTGGCCACGGGCCTCAGGATGGCCCCGCAGACACAGCAGTGGAGAAAAACCCCACCGAAGACGAAGAAGGTGCCCCTCCAGCCCAGGTTCTCCAGGAGGTAGCGGGCGAGCAGCGGCCAGAGCGTGATGCCCAGGGAGACGCCCACCGAGGCCAGTGCGTTGGCCAGCACCCGCCGGCGGATGAAGTAGAAGCTCAGCACGATGATGGTCGACTGGAAGCTAAAGCACATGCCCAGGCCTGTGGTCGGAGAGGGGAGAGCTGCTCGAGGGCGTTCCGGGGCCTCCCAGCAGTCTCAGCAGGGGCACGGGGTTGTGTCCCACGTCTGCCACCCGTCCCTTCTAGACTAGATCCACCTCCAGGTCCCCTGGGATTAAGGTGGACTCAGCCTGCTCCCTCCCTAGAAGCATCTCGCCCCTTGAGATCTGCCCTCTCAAGGCCGCCAGGGACGCACAGCCGTCCTCTTGGCACGGCACCTGGGTGATCTTTAAAAAACGAAATCAAATTAAGTCTCTCCCCTGCTTAACGCCTTCTAGAGACTTCCCATCACATCTAGGAAAAAAGCCAAAGTATTTCGCTATGCTTCAGAAGGCTTGGCACGGTCTGGCTCCTGGCCACCTCTTGGGCGGCATCTCAGGTCACTCTCCCTGTCACTCACTGGGATCCAGATGCATCAGCTTCTTTCTCTTCCTCTGGATGTCAAGCTGCTCCCTAGCTCGGGACCTGTGCACTTGCTGTTCCCTCTGCCTGGAGTATGCTTCGCCCGAACTTTCCTCTCCCGACTCAGCTCAGATGCTACCTCCCCACCCACTCTGTGCCTGTCCCCACACAGCTGAACATGCCAGAGAGAAAGCTCACAACCACCCACGACCACTGGTCTCAGGCAGGCCCCGGGTTACCCGTGATGCCACTATGGGTCCCTCGCCCATTTTCTCTGCCACCTCCTGGATGAACCCTGGGCCTTCATCCTCATCCTCACCTCCCCGCCCCCTCACTCCCAGCTGACTGCCTGCCTTTCCACCTGTCGTGATGGACTGTCCTTGCTCCCGGTCAAGGCCAACCCTCCACTCGAAGGCATATCCCTCCAGCGATTTCCTTCACCATTCGTTTTATACTCTTCTCTAGATCGTTCTCCTTCATTGTTATTTCTCCCATTAAAAACAAAATCCTCTCGATACGAGCAACTAATTGTCTATTATATTGCAATAAAGCTGGAAAAAACAGACAAACCCTTTCTTGACCCATGGTCTCTTCTGGGTCTCGGCCCATTTCTCTGCTCCCTTCCATCAAAATTTCTTGGGAGTATCGTTTATCTCAGCTGGCTCCAATTTCCCTCCTCCCGTTCTCTGTTGGACCTATTCCGGTCAGACTTTCACCCCCATCCCTGCTCCAGAATTGCTCTTACCAAGGTCACAAACTTGCACTTGCCAAATCCAACGTCTCCACTAGATCTGACCCGTCGTCGGCGGCTTCACAGAGTTGACCGTTCCCTCCCCATCTCGACCTTTCTTCACTCGCTTCCTTGAAAAACTCCACCCTTTTGGTTCTTCTGCCTCTCTCGTCACTTCTTCCTGCCTAGAGTACTCAACACTGGAGTGTCCTGGGGGCTTAGTCCTCCCTCGTTCCCCTAGTGACAGCAGGGTGACACCTCATCTCGAGACTGGAACGCCAGCCATCTCGTCAATGCTCCAGCGGCTTGCTCCAGCTCGTGGCCTGCTCCCCGAACTCCAGGCTGAACGCATCCACACCCGAGCTTCCCATCTTTCCTGCAAACCTGCTCCTCCCCCGTTAGCAGCAAATTCATTATTCTAGCGGCTCAGGGCAAAAAGTCTTAGTGTCCTTCTTGGCTCTTGGAACCTTGGGTCATCCCGAAGGCAAATTCATTATTCTAGCGGCTCAGGGCAAAAAGCCTTGGTGTCCTCCTTCTTGGCTCTTGGAACCTTGGGTCATCCCGAACGCTTCTCTGCACCTCGTGTGCATTCCTGAACGCGGCCACTTCTCGTCACCTCCGTCCTACTGCCTTGGTTTAAGGTACAACCACCTCATGCTTGGTTATGACCATGTCTCTACCTGTTCTCCCATCCCTGGCTTAGCCCCCTACGATGTATTCTCAATACCATAGCTGGATTGGCACTTTACAGATAGTGGTCAGATGATGATAATCACTCAGCTGCCTGAACCCATCAAATGGCTTCCCATCTCACTACACCTGAACCCCCATCCAGCCTCCACTCCACCCACTGACCCCTTGTGTGTGCCCCTCTACCCTGCTGGCCACCTCACTGCTCCTTGGCACAGGACCTTTACACTTGCTGTTGTCTCTGCCTGGAATGCTCTTCCCCAGAGAGCCTGGTGGCAGACGCCCCCACCTCCAGTCACCTTTTCGGCGAGGCCTTCTCTGACCGCCCAGTTAAAAACAGCAACCTCGTCCCATGACCCTACCTTACCTTTTGTGCTGGGTATTCTAGATATTCTACCTTTTTACTTGTTTAATCTCTGCCCATCACCACTCCGAGCCAGGACACAATCACATCAGCTGTCCTGTCTTCTCATGCACTTGTCAGGATCAGAAATAATCCTTCTCATTTATCTGTTCATTGTCTCTCTCCCTCACGTGCTCCCTCACGTAAGGAGCCCCATGAGCTTTGCCTGCCCGGTTCACTTGTGCCTGGCACTTTTTAGCAGGTGCTCAGTAATTCTTGAAATGGAATGACACTCACCTGAGATGAATCCTACTGCAAAGTACAGCTGGTTGAGGGTGTGGCAAAAGGAGCCAGCCACCATGCCCAGGCTGGCCAGCACCCCGCCCAGCATTGCTGTCACTCGGCAGCCAAAGCGTCCCACCAGGATGCTGCACAGGGGTCCTGTGGTGTAGAGGCAGGGGGGGCAGGGATGAGGAGCCAGCCAGCAGTGGCAGCTGACTGTCGAGCTCTGGACGGAAGGGAGTGTGAGGCTGGGAGGGGATTCTAGCAGGAACTAGCCAGGAGGCTCAAAGGGTATAAGCCCTAGAGCCTGCAGCCCTGGATTCTGATGCCTGCCCTGCCATGGACGAGCCGGGGAGCCCAAGCAAGACTGAGCCCCCTCTGTGCCTCAGTTTCCTCCCTGACAGAGTGAGGGATCAGACTGGGTGATGACTGACCAGCTGTGAGTGAGGTGCTGCCTTGTTCTGTTTGACCCAGACAAGGATCCCCAGAGGCCCTTTGCTGCACTGACCTGAGGTCACTTCCATACGGGTGAAACAAGATTGGCTTATGACCCAGGTGGATGCTTCTCTCTGGGGGTCGGCCTGAGAGGGTGGGGGTCTTGGGCATCTAAATCGTGGGGAGCATCTCCAGCCCCTGCTCTTACCCACAGCCCTCCCTCCATCCCGCCACCTGTCTAGAGTGGGAAGCTGGGGCCCTCGGCCGCTCTGCACCCCTTTGCACTGGTCTCTGGAAAAAACTGGGTGAGATACCCTCTTCCCTCCCCCATCGCCTCTAACCACCACCAGAGTCTCTCACTGGTGTGTGGCTCCTGGTGGAGAGGGGCCTGTTTTCTTCCATCCCGGCCTCGCCCTGAGTGGCTTTCTTACCGGCACAGACCCAGAGGAGTCAACACCTCGCAGGGCCCCATGCACTGAGCGCCCTGCCCCCCAAGTACATGTAATGGAACCGCTCCACAGTTACTCTGCCAAGCGCAGCCAAGGGGACAGGGAAGGTGTGTGTGTGCACGCAATTTGCGTGTGTGTGCTTAGAGCAGGGAGGGGAAGTGTGAGTGTGAGCCAGTATGAGTATGGGAGTGACGAAGGAAGTGAGCAGCCCGCCCTCAGAGATAATCAAGCAGAGGCAGCTGTAGAGGGAGAGGGGAAGCTACGGAGTGAACTTGACCACTGACCCACATATCTTCCCTACCCCCATACTTTGACCTGGAAAGGTGATATTGGCCCTGAGTCATGGAATTAGGAGTGGTGGCTGGGACAGGTGCCAGCTTAGCTGTGGTAGCTGAGGGTGCTGGGGTGCAGTGCTGGGAGACAGAGCTTTTCTTTGGCTGGGGTGTTGTTTCTGCCCTGAACTCATTCTGCAACCTTGAGCAGGCCTTATACTGTGTATTTGTTCGTTTTCCTCATCTCTAAAGTGTGTGTGTGTGTGTGTGTGTGTGTGCGCGCGCGCGCATGCGCTCACTTAGGATCAATGATACTTTCAAGTTTAAAATTCTACCATAGTCTGAATGAGCACAGGCTACAGGTGTGTGTGTATGTGAGAAAGACAGAGGGGACAGACAGGAGTCCCAAGCCGATTGAGACGTTACATTAAGGAGCCTGTTAGGGGATGGCGAATCTAAAGCTGGCTGCGGACTGGGGAACCCCACTGGATGCCCAACTCCCAGCCCCTGGCCCAGACCACTCTCTAGTTGGAACCATCTGAGATCCCCGCTTCTGCCTCGACCTTGTGGCAAAAAGGTCATGGGGTCTGGGACAAGACTGGCCTTTCCCTTTGCTGTGAGCCGACACCTCGAGTGGCAGGTTCAAGGTTCATCACAGAAGGTCGGCACCTATCCCAGTCTGACCTCCCTCCTAATTTGAGGGAAGGACCTGGAATAACTAGCAGACTGCCGCTGCCGGGTGTGGGGAATGGGAGAAAGTCGGCAGGGATATGGGCTCAGCTAAGGCCAACAAACCTCCATGCAGCAGACCAGGCCCCCATGGAGGCCACTGTCTGGAGAGCTCCTGGGAAGCTTCTGGCCTTTCCCTATTGTTGGGGTCAGAGTGAGGTGGTCACATTTCTGCAGGAGCCAACCAGGAAATGGGAGGAGCTGCCTTCTCTCTATTTATTTCCCCAGCCCTTGCAACTCGCCGCCCCCCCCACTTCCTGGTGAGAGATGGGGCTCTTGCCCTGCCCCCAACTTGCTCCTGGTGTCTTCCTTGAGCCCCCTTTCGTGTGGGAGGTGAAAGGATGCTGGGCTTTACTCCCATTTGAGGTTCAGAGTGATCGTCCGGCTGGACCCGAAGCCGCTCCTTTTCCAGTCTGTGCTGTGTGCCATGCCTACAGTCTGGATCCATCCTTCAGCAGCCACTGAGAGGACTGAGTTTGCATCTCAGGTGCCTCTAGGCTTTTACCTCTTTGCAGCCCAGCCCAGCCCAGCCCAGCCCAGCCTACCTAGATTCCTACCAGCAGGGCGGGCCGTGCTGAAACCAGGGGAAATCTTAAGAATTCACCCAGAAAGGCAAAGCCTATGGCCTCCACAAGAGGGACCCAGGGGGCCATGGAGGTTGTGGCTTCCTCCCCACCCCAGGCTCTTCCTTATCCCTCCCTGGGCCCCTCTTCGGGCTGCTTACCACCTGCGTGGAGCATGGCCGTCAGGATGGAGGGGATCCAGGAGGTCTCGCTGTTGCTGGCCTGGAACTCATGCTGCAGGTCAGTGAAGAAGATGCCGATGCACGTGGGGAAGCCCAGGGTGAGGCCCTGTGTCACCACAGTGGCCAGCAGGACCACCCAGGCCCAGCTGCCCTCTGCACGCTCCAGGGCCTGGGGCATCCTCTGCTAGGAACGCTGTGGCCAGAGCCTCAGGCCTCACCGCCACTGCTACCACTGCCTGGGCTGCCTGGGGAGGGGACAGAATAGTACTGCCAGCCCTCCACCGGCTCACCTGCCGCCTTTCCTGGGCGGCTGAAAGCCTCCCTTCCTCTTGCCCCAGCACCCAGTCTCGGAGGAGCACTACCCGCTGGGAGGTGGCCAGAGGCCCACATGTTGGCCTTGGCATCTCTTTTCACCCACTTCTCAGAGCTAGCCTGACAGGAGCGACAGTGGTGAGCAATCGGTGGAACAGGCAGGTGAGTGGAATGCTTTCTGGTCTAACATCACTTGGTAAACAGTAGATAGGACTTCCCGGCCCAGCCTCGGGTCCCACACGCAGCCAGCGCTCAGCCATTGCTTATAGAATGGAGCAGGTCTCTAGAGCCAGTGCAGTCCCACTGTCCCCACAGGCACACTCGGATACATTTTCAAACATTCACAACTAGGCTTCTGGCACACAGACTTTCGAAGTGCTACATTAACAGTGAAGTTCACTGTCAGTATAGCTGTGAAGGCCAAGGTAAGCAAGCCAGTGCTGGGTGCAGCCAAGGAGTGTACACAGAACAACTTAACAAAGGCAGCAAACAAGCAGCTTTCAAGGAGAAGGCAGAGGTCTTATCTGGAAGCCCTCAAATCACCCTAAAACACTCCTTTTACAAGGAGTCATGGCCAAGAGTCAATTTCGACAATCATGCAGAAGAATAATGATCTAGTATCTGCAAGGGCTTCTCTGAGTACACCCACCACACACATACAAAACACACATGCATACAGAGGTACACACAAATACGTACACGCTCACAGATATATACACAGCCACCCATGGACACATACCAAGACACACGCACACACACATATACATACGCAAATACACACTTCCATAAACACATACAGGCAAGCCCAGAGACATACAAACATGCACGCAGACAAACGCATGCTACACAGACATCTTTGGCTAAGTCCTGTCTCAGTTCCTTGCCACCACCAGGCCATTCTCCCTTGTCAAAGAAATTGCCATAACCAGGTCTCGAAGCCCCAAGGCACTCTCCCCAAATGCAGAGCCCCTTTCCAGACCCCTCCATCCTGGCTCTCCCCAGTGCCCTCAGACCTCACCGGCACTCGGGGCTCCAGGCTCAGCAGGCAGAGGGAGCAGCCTTTGCCCCAGTGAAGCCAAGGGTCCCATGAGCTACTGTTCCCACGGCCTCCCTCCTTTTAGCCCCAGGTCCAGGGATGATCCATGGAGACTCAGGAAGCTCTCAGAAATATGAAACCCCTTCTTCCTGCCAAGCCCAGCAATCCACACCTTTCCCCCAGGTCCAGGAGCTTTAAAACAGCACCTAAGCTGGATCCACCCTAAAATGTCTCCTTCACACGCTCTAATCTCTTCTTGGGGCACAGTCCTGCCAAGGGAAGCGATTCATTCATCCCAGCCTCAGGAATGTGTGTATGTGTGTGTGTGTGTGTGTGTGTGTGTGTGTGTGTGTGTGTGTGTGTGTGACCTTGAGCCCCATGGGTGGGGCAGGAGCACCTCTTGCCCTCCTGGCTCCTGCTTGTGACACTGCCCCTAGAGAGCCCCTCAACCCCGATCCCCTTGGCCTAGCTCCAGGCTCCGGCAAACCTTAGATATGGCTCCTCCAGCAAACTGGCTCTTGCCCCTTCCAGGATTTCTGTTCCCTCAGCAAATGGAAAGGCCACCAATGTCACCTGATCCTCTCTACGGTGACCTGAATGTCAAGTCTCCACACCCTTCTCCATAGCTCGCCCCTCCTCCCTAATACATCCCAGCCCCTCAACCTTCAAGGACTTGCCACTTTCCCTTCTTCCTCCCAGAAGGGCCACCTGCCTTCCTCTGCTGCCCTCACTTCCTCCTGCTCTTCTCTCCACTGTGGCCCCACCCCTGGCACTCCCAAGCTCTGGGAACCTGAAGGTTCCCAGCAGAATGCTGTCACCAAACCAGAGGCAGCGGGGAGGAGAGATTGGAGAAGAGCCACAAAGGGGGGGCCTTAGAGCTGGACCCCAGCCCAGTCCCCACCCCCGGGTCTGGTCCCTTCTTGTTCCTTCTTGTCCTGCCTCTCCACTGAGAGGTCTCTTTAGTGTCCTTCTCAGCAGCGACTTCTCTGGGCAGCCCCTTTGGGGACTATGTCCAGGACTCTGCACCCACTTTCCCTCCTAAAACTTCCAGTGGGCCTGGCTCTTCATGGCTCCTCCTCTCTCCAGCTTCCTGGGACAAACTGAGCCCAGGAAGCCCTGAGCACTTGTCCTCTCCTGCCCGCTGCCTCCCCTGCACACTCTGCCTTCCATGAGAGCCCCCCAAACCCCCCGCCCATACTCCCAGCAACTCCCAGGTCACACATGGAGCCTTTATGTCCAGTTGGTCCTCCAGCCCAGTCACCGAATAAGCTGTCCCTCCCGCCCCTGCCCCCTATACAGGAACTCAGCCAGAGAGAAGTCTAATGGGTCCTTCAAGATTCAGCCCTAGAAGCACGCACAGGAAGCTACCTTGACCCCAACCCCAGGCTGGGCTAGGCCCCCTTCCCGTTTTTCTTTCCTTAATAGTGTTTTCCACTCCCTTTGACAGTATAAGCAAGGACCTGTTTATACACCCCCACCCAGCCTCTGGCAGAGCACAGCAGATAATTTAATGTGACCCACCTGTGTTCCCCAGAAAGCAGGCAAGCCCAGGACCAAGGGTGACCCAGCCTCCCGGCAGGCGAGTCCATTCCAGAAGACTCAAGCAGAGCAGAGAAGAGATGGGGCTGGGGGTTCCTGCTTCGCCTCTGCCTCGGGGGTAAAGTGGTCTTTCCTTCGTACTGGGAACCATGAGTCATGATCACTGCCTGGTGCATGGTTGGGGCAAGGAGGGAGAGGGGACTGGAGACACCTTGCTCTCGCTGCCTGTCCACAGGAGCTGCCGACAATGCCAAGGTGACATTTCTCATCCTCCCACCATCCCATAGCCCCTGGTCTGTTTTCAGGGCTTCCCATCTGATGACGGAGGCCTCACTGGGCCCTCGGAATCCTTTCCCTGCCCCTCCGAGCTTGCGGGTCTGGTTAAAAGGGTGAGCGGATGCTCTCGTGCCGGGGTTTGGGGTTACCGGGCTGGTGTGTAGAGTGGAGGGGCCCCTTCTCTCTCTTCCTCTCCCCTGCTCTCTTTCCATGGTGGGAGAATCAGTGAGTGAAAAAGGAGAAACCACGAGCCCGAGAATGGCGAAAGGTCGGAGCCACAGGCAGACCCTCGCCGGACTCCCTGCCAGGCAGGAACCCGGCCTGGACCCCAGGACACAGGACAGGCAGCAGTAGGGCTCCCTCTAGTCTAGGCAGGAGAGCTGCAAGAGTCGACTTGAGCTTGGGGCTGACAAACCCTCAAATCCCTGCACCTGGCGGGGCCACCGGAAGCAAGGAGGCATTC